CCAATAAAAGTTGAACGGTTTAGCGATGTCGGTTTAGGTGACTCGCCAATTTCATCTCGAACGCGCAAAACAAGTGCTGGTAAAAGCCAAAAAGAACAAGAACCACATAAATCAATTTATGAAGATGCTTTAGCTGAAGAACAAGTTAAGACTGCAAGTACAACAGAAACATTTACTCCTCCAGCTACAACGGCTGAGGTTGCGGTAAATGAACATGTCACCATTTCTACAACAACGCCAATAAACCAGACTATAACGCTTGGTGGTGCACCAGCGGATGCTACATTTTGTACGAATGCAGCGCAGACAACATTTCAAATTGCGCCTGGACAAAGTACTTTTATCGTTGACAATCCAAATGCTACTATAACTTTGAATAAAAATGCAGATCCGTCCACAAATGCTGCGACTGATGTAGGTGATGCCACATTTAACGTGGCCGCAAATGATGCAAATAAATCAAACCGTTCATCGACATTATCGAGGCAATCGATGGTAACAGCTAAAGATACTTCGCATCCGCAAGATACAAGTCTTATAACTGAAGATGAATCGTTTGAACAGCCCATCGCTAAAAGTCAACCAATGCCACCGCATGCACCGAAAGCACCGACTGCACTTAAATTACATACACAAACTAAGGTGCCACTCTCCGCTAAAGGGTACAAAGTACCATCACGCACCAATGAACTCTTCAAGTAAGTCTTATAGGTGTATAATATAACACAGTGAAGTAAATTTTTATTTGTAGTCCACTTGTACAAAGTCCTGTAAAAAAGAAGGTTGAGGCATTCGAGCATGCTTTACAGGCTGCTACCATTGAACAATCGAAAACTGGTACTTTGCGTCCAAAGCGGTTAAAGGAAACTTCAACGGTAAGCTAAATAAAAATATAGAATTCATCTGTGATTCATATATTATTATAATTTAGACCCACACAACACCTGTAATTGGTGGTAAAATTTATGCTCCAGCTATAGGAAAATTTCTTACACCAACACAATCATCGACAGTTACACCGAATATTGGACAAATGCGTAAGCTACCAAACAGCACTTCAAAAACTATTGGATTTCCTAAAACAAATTTAAAACCAACTACTTCTGCATCTGCCAAGGCACTTTCACGCGATAATACCAGTGACGACCTGCGTAAAGGTCTTAGCCAACAAGCCGAAGAGCGCAAGAAACTACGTGAGCAGAAACATGTACTTGCCGCACAGCAACGCGAAATGAGAGAAAAAGAACGTACTGAACGTATGGCTAAGCAAGCTAAGGAACGTGAGGAGAAACGTATTAAGAAACAACTTGAAATTGAGAAGAAGAAACGTGAACAAGAGGATATACAACTTAAGCTACGTCAACAGGAAGAAGCCGCAGCTGAGGCAGCTGCCATGAAGCAACGGGTCGCAAAAGCTAAAGCTATTGCCGAACAGGAGCAAGAACACTTAGCACAAATTGAAAAAGCCAAACAGGGCACGCTGAGCAAGAAGAAAATGATGCCTCCACCAAATCCCAAACCAGAAGTAAAATCGTCATACACATTTGATATGTTACATGAAGATGATTCAACAGATGATGAGGACAAAGTTTCTTATAAGCGACCACCACCACCAGAATGGAGCAAAAGTAAGAAAAATGATTTTTAATTATTATTTTATAAGATATAATTTTTAGTTTTGTTATAATTGTGATTATTGTTATAATTGCTTTTATTGATATAATTATAATTACTTCTTTATTAATAATTTTGTAATGAAAAATTTGAAAAATTTTACTAATTTTATAGGTACAACTCGTGGTCCTGCCATTCGTATGCAAGAACATTGCTGGTCTGAAATTATTGATAACATGTTTTCAGTCGAACCAGTTACGGTTAACTTAAAGGAAATCTTTCCAAACATTTCGTCTCAGCACTTAAAACGTAATTCCAGTGTAATGTGGTCAACTCCTCCACGTTACTCAGAGTTACCAAAATATTAAAATTACTTACTTTTTATATATTCTTTAACTTTCCTTTATTATATTGTTTCTTATTAAAAAAATAAAATTTGTATTAATTAAAAATATAAAATTGCTAAATTATTTTCTTATGAATAATGGAAATTGAGAAGACGCCAAGTTTGTATGTGCTAAAGAAAGGTCCATATTAAGGTAGATTTATAGTAGGGAACATTCATTCGATGGAGAAATAATGACGATAAGCTATTGTTAATAAGATACTTATCTATATACATTAACTATACTGTGTAAATACACTGCATTTACTGAGCTGATGTAAAAATATATTCGGGTTAGGAATGTAACTTAATCAATCAATTAAAATTGATGGATTCATTGTTGTTGTTGTTGTAACCTGCCGGGACCTGGAAGTGCCTTTGGGGGTGGTTGAACGGCTCTTGGTCGTCTTCGACGAGTGGCTCCGGGACGTAGACTCTTCCGTTCTTGGAACCGATGGATTCATTCATCTACCTTGGTGTTGATCTGTATCCTGTCCTGTGTCCAGATCTGTGTCCCAAACCACTCGCATTTGTCAACCAAAACAAAGTGATGAAATTCGCTAGGCTTTAAGGATTTAACGGGTTATACTAACAGCTACATTTTAGTAACTTTTACTCACAATGGTCTAAGGAGTTATGTTTTGCCGTGCTGGTTGCTGGCAACAAGACTTTTTAAGCTGATAAAGATTTTATCTATATTGGTACCGTCGTAACTAACAACAACAAGGCCATACCGGAGATCGGACAAAAAATTACCATTGCCGAAAGGTACTACTATACTTCGTCTATAGTATAATCTCTCTCGACCGAGAAAACTTAAGCTTTATAAGTAGCTTATTCTACCTGTGCTTCTGTATGGCACAGAAGGTTGTACACTAACACAGAATTAAGTAGCAGGACTAGGACTGTTCGAGAAAAAAGTTGTTAGTAAAGTTGTTAGTTGTCTAGAAGTTGGTGACGACTACCGCATCGGAACGAACCAAGAGCGGTACTAGCTTTAACGTTGATATCATTAAGCAAATTGACATTTAGTAGCTTCACTGGCGCTTTGTCCTGTTGTGAGTATGGATGACAATGCTCCAGCGAGAAAGCTGTTTGAAGTGGCAGTTGAAGTAAGAAGACATAAGGGAAATCCGTGTCTCTAGTGCAGTATTCACGTGAAGGGATCACTAAGCGTGTTTGATTGTACGAGATTGGATCAGGTAGCAGACCTGATGACTAATTGGTCAAATAAGTAAATAATAAATAATTTTATAAATTCTTTTTTAATATTTTAAAATATTTTTCGTAATATTTTTTTAATAAATTTATTTTTTTATAATAACCGTAAGCGCATCTTGTTACCTTATAAGCACCAAATTCCATCCGAAAGTGCTAATAAAATAGTTAAGTACCTGATTGACATCAATCTACAGTTGATGTCAGTCTCCAGTTTGTCAGTTCTTCAGTTCTTCTGCGTTTCATATTAAGTTAGCTGTAAATAATATGAGTACATAGATATATGTATAAGCATATAAAAATCATAATCATTAATGAAACTATTTACTGATGTTTAATGATTAACCAAGAAATTCTATGAAGCGACACAAAGAAATTTTGATCTCGCAAAGAGATTCAATTAAACTCGGTACACTTCGAAGCGAATGAAAATAATATTTTGTATAATTTCACTTGTTGGTCATGGTATGATTTTGGCTCAGATTTATATTCGAAGCTCGTATGCTATTTTTTTCTACCTGCTTTTGCTTTTCGTATTGTGCGGGTTTTTACCGCCTCATTTTGTTAGAAAGAGTGGAGTTAATTTCATTACAATGGAATAAGGTGACATCAAATAGTGCGGATGAACCTGAAAATGATTGAAAAAGTAATAAGTGGACGATGTTGCATTTGACAAATGAGACGTAATTCAATATTCGTGGTTAATCACTGGCCATAAAAGATGGAATTCCAAAATTATTCAAGTGGTAGCAACAAAACCACTACATCTCTATTACATCTCTATCATGTTACTAATTAAACATCAGACAAAATATAATTGAATATAAAATGAGAGAATCTCAATACAGTTTTTTTAAGAGATTCGAGATTTTGTAGTTCCAAAATTGAGAAAACACAATATAAACTAGAAGATGGACGTAGCGAATGAGTGGTATCAGGGAGCGATGGTTCTCTGTTATATTACAATAAAAAAAAGGACTATGCAGTAATGCTACTGCCTAGACCAACTCCTTAATGTGATAAATCGTTGGTAAAGGTACGGACATAAATGTGCACTGGCAGACCTAGTAAGCAGTTTTTCGATTAATATAATTCTTTTAGTTTAATAATTTTAATTATTTATATAATAAGTACTGGGTGCAACTTAATTGATTTCTTCTTTAGATATACCTTCATTTGTTTCAAACATAATTACAAAAAGAATTCTTTCTGGCTCCCACTTCTGCCCCACTTTTTGGTAATGTCCTCGATGTAGGATGATATAAAAAGAGCTGTATGGTTCTCAACACCTTAGGATGGATCATATATTCTAATATTATTCTTTATATACTTTATATTCTTTAGTAATTCTAAGGTATATTCTGAGAAATTATGTCATTTTAAATATGAGCATTAAAAGCTTGCGATTAACTTTACTTTACTAAATGTAACCTTCAATTATATGACTATATGTATTTTTAGTTAATCGGGAGTGTGCAAAAGTATATCAAAGACAGAGCGTTGAAGTTGTTCGATGCTGTGGAAGCGCACACTAATTCAGAATAGCACTCTCTCAAATCAAATGAAATATATATTCCGTCAAAATGATACATTGGGCTTCAAAGTATACTTCTATAAAATCATCTGAATAACTTATAAGAATTGAACGGAGCTTTTATTACAGTGGCTCATCTAAATGGTCATAGACACTATTGAGTAAAAGAGCTTTGGGTACTAAATTGCGTTTGATCAAGCAAAGAAGAAGAAGCAAAATTATCATTCTAATAACGACACCAGTACTAAGTCTTTCCAAATTATATATTCCTTATAGGAGATACACACATGTTTACAGTTTATTTTGTGCACAAAACTATTTTTAACTATTAAGGATAGTCATTATCTTATGAGACGAAACTCAGATCTTAAGAAATAGAAGAATCTTAGGATCAAACACAAAAGAAACAAACATGCAATAATGTTCATAGATTCAAGCCTCTATTAATTATTGTTAAACTTTTAATGGCTACAAAAACTATTTTGCTACCGATGGCTATATTGGAAGCTTATGTAGTTCTAGTATTTGTTTTCCATTAAAATCGTTATGCTAAAAACAATGTACTAGATCATAGCACAGGTCTTATAGATTGCAAAGTGTAAATATTAAGTGTATAATATATACATTTGAGACAAGCGATTAAAAAATTTGCGATTCCTACAAATATAGATTGTATATACTATACATATAGATTGTAAAGTTCAGTTATGATAGTAAGATATTTGACGAAAGTGATTGAAAACTTATTGATTTCAATGAACATAATGAAAAATAATGGCATAAACCATATTAGTTATAAAATTCAATTATTATGGTAACATAACATATGACATTTATGGAAAGGCTTGTCTAAAATAATATCTATTTACCAAAATTTGTTCGAATTCTTCACTATTGATATATAGTTCCTAGTTCAATAATCTCACAACTTCAGAAATAGTCCTTATTAAATATATGCATACTCAATGTATCTCTTTCTGAATATTAGTTCATTCTATTAGTTTATTATATATTGAATGTATGAATATATAATATTAAATTAAATAGTATATTAAATATTAAAATAAAAGTTTATAAAAGTTTTTGTTGGTGGTTCATATATCGTTATATATATATCAACTCAAAGATATACAATAACTCTATATTATTCTCCATTACATTCTATAAAGATAGTCTACCTTCAATACATGCCAATGAAACCACAATGTTTTATGTAGGGTGTATTCACTTAAATTTTCTATGCGGAATAAAAAGACAAGGCATTAGAAACACTCCGTGCTACATACAAATACGTATAGTACAGATACATTTATGAAAAAAAAAATTAGTATCTGTAAATCTAAATAGTTTCTTAAAAAAAAGTAACTGAACGTACAAGTATTAGAAAATTGCCGCAACTAATCGCCCACCAAATTTATATGTGGTCAAAAAGTAATCTCAGAAGAAGGAAGTAGCCTTGGCTCAAGTCTTTGTTTGATTTATATCTTTGGACAATTGTAGTTGTTGTTCTCGAACTCACTTTTATGTAGTTTCGCCATGCTTGTTTCCTCTTGTAAATCTTCTTTTGCCAGACCACAAAATTTTATTGATGCAATTTCTTCTTCCCTTTCGAGACAACCACAGGCAGAGTAAGCGTCGAGAGTAATAAAATTTTAGGAAAGATCTAAGCAAAAAGTTTTCGTTTTCAATCTCAAGTCAAATTTAATAATTGTGCATAACAATACAATTTTTTTTTAGCAAAGTCGTAATTCACTTGCGAGCTGAAAATAAATTATTGCTTCAAATGGATGATCGCAAATGGATGGATAAAAAAATTGAACGAGTTTTTCAAAAAGTCATAATTTGGCATGCCAAGTCTATTGGAGTGAAGCTATATCATATCATATCTTCATCGTTATTTTAATGAAACTTAATGCATTTAAATACATATATTTAGATAAATATTTTATTATTATTATACCTTATATATAGAAAATTTTCAAGAGGTATTGACATCAATTGGAAACCCCCTTAAGGTCTATATACCTTCGAATTAAAATTTATTTCATAATTTTTCTAGAGAAAATAAATCTATATTTTAATATTTCATATAATTTTCTATAACTATAATTATTAATAATAATAATATATGTCATATGATGACTACTTATTCGGATATACTTCGTATTTTAAATGAAGCCATATTTAATTGAGAGAAAATATTTTTAGAATTGACTTACATCGGTGCTAAA